AAATGACCCTTAACCCCTTAAAATTACAAAAACCCCCATGAAAGTGATTCAATTTTCAAACGACCATAACTCCTACAATAGCGAGAATATTTCAATGAAACTTTTTTCTGGAGTATAGTTCATGGATACCTACAAAACAGTACTAGACAACTTTTCTATAGGGCGTCAAACAAAATTACTAAAAATGAAAAACAAATTCTTAAGAAAAATCGTTCTTAAATCTTTCGACGGGAAAAAAATAATTTCAGTTCGTACTAAAAAAATTATTTCTAACTAGAAGGGTTAATTACAATCATTTTTGGTGATTACACAAAGCCTCGAAATCCTACCCATTTTCTAGAAAAAAATTCGAGAAGATGCTGAAATTTTTCGGTGAAAAAAAAATTTCAAATCGTACTAAAAAAATTATTACTAGCTAGGGGGGTTAGTTACAATCATTTTTGGTGAATAGACATATCCCCGAAATCCTATCCATTTCCGGGAAAAAAATTATTTATTGAAAATATAATATAATGGTCCCCCGAAATTTCATGCAAATCTTTAAAATACCATAACTTCCGAACGGATTGAAGGATTTTAATGTTTGAAGCGGCAAACAACGTGTATTTTATTGGAGAATATGTAAAAATTCCAAAAATATTGAAAAAGTTGTTCCTTGTCCCCGTAAATTGAGAAAAACCCCATAAAAATGGCCCAATTTTCAAACGACCATAACTCCTACAATAGCGAGAATATTTCAATGAAACTTTTTTCTGGAGTATAGCTCATGGATACCTACAAAACAGTACTAGACAACTTTTCTATAGGGCGTCAAACAAAATGACTAAAAATGAAATACGAATTCTTAAGAAAAATCGTGCTTAAATCTTTCGACGGAAAAAAAAAATTTCAGATCGTACTAAAAAAATTATTTCTAGCTGGGGGGGTTAATTACAATCATTTTTGGTGATTACACAAAGCGTCGAAATCCTACCCATTTTCTAGAAAAAAATTCGAGAAGATGCTGAAATTTTTCGGTGAAAAAAAAATTTCAAATCGTACTAAAAAAATTATTACTAGCTAGGGGGGTTAGTTACAATCATTTTTGGTGAATAGACATATCCCCGAAATCCTATCCATTTCCGGGAAAAAAATTATTTATTGAAAATATAATATAATGGTCCCCCGAAATTTCATGCAAATCTTTAAAATACCATAACTTCCGAACGGATTGAAGGATTTTAATGTTTGAAGCGGCAAACAACGCGTATTTTATTGGAGAATATGTAAAAATTCCAAAAATATTGAAAAAGTTGTTCCTTGTCCCCGTAAATTGAGAAAAACCCCATAAAAATGGCCCAATTTTCAAACGACCATAACTCCTACAATAGCGAGAATATTTCAATGAAACTTTTTTCTGGAGTATAGCTCATGGATACCTACAAAACAGTACTAGACAACTTTTCTATAGGGCGTCAAACAAAATTACTAAAAATGAAAAACTGAATTCTTAAGAAAAATCGTGCTTAAATCTTTCGATGGAAAAAAAAAATTTCAGATCGTACTAAAAAAATTATTTCTAGCTAGGGGGGTTAGTTACAATCACTTTTGGTGAATAGACATACCCCCGAAATCCTAACCATTTTCGAGGAAAAAAATCGAGTAGGTGGACAAATTGACGTTCGACAGCCACAACTTTTGAATGTTAATAACTTTTCAACGAAGCCTCCATCAACAAATTAGTATTCTTGATTTTCGCCTTATTTTGCCCCCTAGAATCTATCATTAAATTTGTTGATGGAGGCTTCGTTAAAAAGTTATTAACAATTAAATTCCAAAATTTCAAATCGCACTAAAAAAATTATTTCTAGCTAGGAGGGTTAATTACAATCACTTTTGGTGAACAGACATACCCCCGAAATCTTGCTCATTTTGGAGAAAAAAATTCAGTAAGGACGGAACTTTAAATTTGACTATTTTCAAAACGCGTTATTAAACTGTTCTAAGCGAATAAAAACTGAAAATTCTCTCCTCTAATTTTTGCTACATATTCCCCATTTACATGGATAGCTAATTAGAATTTGATACCAAATCTTAGCTTGTTTTTTTATACAAAAGAATACTACGATTATTTGGATTTCTAAAAGTGCATTTGAAAGAGTTCAAATTATGTTCGAAATATTTTTAGAAGTAAAAAGAAAATAAGAAAACAGTTAGTTCTAGTTCTAATATACAATTTTATACCATACAGAACATAGAAAATAGACATTCCAGGGGGCACCCGTACTTTAATATCACATGTAACAGCATCTTCCAAACGAGCAGAATTAAATTGAAGAACCTCGGGAAAAATTCTCCAGAGGAATGTGCTGCACAGTGCAATCTAGTCATTGTTAGCAAAGACAAAATGAAATTGCATCTTCTCCTACACTGACATTTCTCGGTCTCGCAATAATTCCAAAAGAACAGCGTACAACATAAAAAGATTTCTTCAAAAACCCCGAAACCTCATACTTACATAACGCTTACAAAACTATTGAACAGGATGCCGAAATTATGCGAAGCAATAATAAAAGCTCACGGTGGAAATATCGACGAATGTCAAACATAGATATAATTGTGACAATTTTTGTAACAAAATTGAAAAAAAAAAACTGTTCTTAGAGACAATAAAAAATAAATTAAAAAAAATTGATTTTTGATTAATATTTCCTATGTTTTTCTGTTATTTTGAGGGTGGGCAAACACTTATGGTCGATAGTGTATATCCAAGAAAAAAATAGATAAACTTTCTATCTGTTAGAGAATCGATGATGGCCGCTATCGATACGAACATATTGTTTTGTTTTTCTGTTGTTCAGTCCAAATATGTCTCCCATAGAGTACCTCTAAATATACGTTTATATTGAACAGTTATATCGAATGTGTCAGCTCATTACAAAACCCCAACACTATCCAATTTATTCTCACTCTAAAAGTCTGAAAAAAATGGTCGAAAGCAACAAAGACAGGCCCCCGCCATTTTCCCGTGGATCGTGCGGGAATTAAAACGCGTACGTCAAAAATATCAGTGCTCTCTTCTCGTCTCGCGGGTATAAAAACCGCGCTCTTAAAAAACAAAGCTCCGGGGAAACGTAACGTCGCGACGCGAGTCTGTTTTTTACCGTCGTGCATTAAACTCGACGTCGATTGTTCGATACGGTTGCGCGCGGAGACACGGCGTATCCAGCCGGAATTGGAAGAAAAGCCGTGTGTGAAAGAGTGCGTGGAAAAATCGGTCCACGCACCGCGCCGCCGCCGTGTTCCTCTACAATGGATCGCTTAGCAGTGGAGAGTCGTCAGCTGTCGCGATGATGCAGGCGACGTACCGGCCCCCGAAGTGATTGACAGTTTTATGGGGAACGGGCGAAGACCGTTTTTGGATTTACGACCCGGGGCCGCGTTTCATCGTCGAACGAGGGGGGAGGGGTCGAGCGTTACGCGACGTTTGATGCTAATCGAACCGTGATGCTGCGACAGAAGGTGGTTTCCGACCATTTCTATTACGATCTCGTCCCTGTTGGGGCTAGAAATATTCTCAAAGATACTGAAAAATTAACTAGAAACGTCTGTATGTCGCTAGTCTTCTTTCTAAATGAAGATCTGAGGATAAATGATACCTCTTTGAGGGTTATTGTTAATGGGATAGCAATAGGAGATGCACTGTGTAACAATAACTAAGAGAAAAGTTTGTTATAGATGGCGAAATGCATAACGATCTGCAACAGTCGACGAATGTGTGAAATTTTTCCGAGATAATTAAAAAATTTCAAATCGTTCTAAAAAAATTACTGACGGTTGCACGGGTAAATTGCGATCATTTTTGGTGGATAGACATACCCTCGAAATCCTAGCCACTTTCGAGAAAAAAAATCGAGAAGGTGCTGACATTTTTGGACAAAATTAAAAAATTTTAAAATCGTTCTAAAAAAAAATATCTTTGGTTGCAGGAGTCAATTATAATCATTTTTGGTGAATAGACATACCCCCGAAATCCTAACCATTTCCGCGAAAAAAATTCATTACTGATAATATGTCTGACCATATCACCTGTCTGTTTCCCTGAAAATTGAAAAGCTTCAAATCGCTCTAAAAAAATTATTTTTAGCTATGGGGGTTAATTACAATCATTGTTGGTGAATAGAGACACCCCCGATATCCTGCGCATTTGCGAGAAAAAAATTCCTTGCCGAAAATATAATTTCTGACCAGAAATACGTGAAAATTTCATGCAAATGTTTAAAACATCATAACTTCTGAACGCAATGGAAGATTTTAATGTTTCAGAAGGCAAACAACGCGTATTTTAGCGAAGAATATGTAGAAATTCCAAGAATATGTGAAAAGTTATTCCTTAACCACGTGAAGTGAGAAGGGCTCAATCTTCAAATGTCCGTAACTTCTACTATAGCGAACGTATCTCAATGAAATTTAGTATGATACTAGAACTCATGGATACCTACAAAAAAGTACTGAACGAAATTTCCGTAGGACGTCAAGCAAATTTATTAAAAATAAAAAACTAATTTCCAAGGAAAATCAACAAGGGGGTAGGTCGCTGAAAAAATAAAAATTTCCAATCGTTCTGGAAAAATTATTTTTAGCTATGGGGGTTAATTACAATCACTTTTGGTGAATAGGGATATCCACGAAATCCTACCCACTTTCGAGGAAAAAAATCGAGTAGGTGGAGAAATTGTCATTCGACAGCCGCAACTTTGAACGTTAATAACTTTTCAACGAAGCCTCAACCAACAAATTGGTATCCTTGATTTTCGTCTTATTTTGGCCCCTAGAATCTCCCAGTACAATTTTTTCTGGGGGTAGTCGAACACCCTGTATAGTTATTTACTGTTATTAAAGCTTTAAATCATAATAAAAAAATTATTTCTAGCTAAGAGGGTTAATTACAATCATTCTTGATGATTACACGATATTTGAAACGCTGGTCTCGATTAATGCACGGTTTTAAAGACACTCACCTCACAGTTGGAGTGACTGATGTTGCTCAGATTCAGCCTGAACACCTTGTCCCTGGAACAGTAAAAGCACGAGAATGGTTAAAGGTCGCTGGAACAATTCACATCGAACTAAAAGTAAATTTTCACTCCATAAAAGGAGATACATTGCTCTACCATGCCTTATCTGGCCACGATTGTGTAATAGTTGTGTACGAGAACCTGTAACTTTGCTTCTGAGGTAAAAAATTCCTTAAAAAATTTTCAAATTTACTTCTCTTTCAACACTTTGACTGCCGCGTGACCCATATATGGGTCACAGGATTTATCACTAGAAAAATATGATATTAGAAAAATTCATTCTCGAGCTAAGATGTTGAGGGCAATAAATTTGAATAGAATTTGTGAATTTTAACTGAATTACGAAAGTAAATACTGAAACAAAAATTTTAGAATGACCTGAAATCAAAAATTTTAGTTTTCCAGAATATTACACGGTTTTGATTTGCCAGTGAATGTGTTAAAAATGAAACTGCGTTTTTCCAAGCAAATATACGGCAAAATAAGAATCTTCGTGGAGTTTTTTTGCATCCAAACGAGTGCGTTTCGCGAAATTTCAGGGGCGACCATACATTTTCGTGATTCGAACGATGCATTTCCGAACGACTTCTCGCCATAGTGGAGGAATCCAGGACAATCGAACGTCGAATGGGTTCAATTGCACAGCGCTCCCAGGTATCTTTAATTTCCCGCTGCCCCGGTGGATCCCCGTTCGCGCAGATTCCGCGAATTTTTCGAAAGCAATCCACCCCCTCGACGGCTGACCCAGAAACTGGGAAAGCGCCGAGATTTTCCGAGGTCCCTACGTGATACGCGAGGAACGTGCTATTGTTCCTAACCCAGGGTAAAAATGATTAGACAGATCACATCCGGCGCTCGAGCTAATTGGCAAGAACCTCGAGCAACCGATCCTCCTGGACGGATCATCTCCAGTTCTTCGCTAATGATGCCAGAGCACGTTACAGGCAGATTCGAATTCTAATCAGATCCCAGAAATAAAACCACCAAAGAGAATCCTACTTAAATTCCCTATATTTCGAAAGCCACGATCAACAACGCCTCTCAACGCGTTGACACATCAAAATCGTACAATTTTCTACGAGATCAAAACTTAAAATCTACTGCATAACTTAAAATCTGTCTTTTGGTACTTATCTTCGTAGCCACGTTGATAATTCTCTTGACAAATTTATTTAACACTAGAATGCCCCGTGACGGGTTCGCCCTGACATATATATACGCGGTAATGCAATTCTCTCGCGAGAAGCTTCGCCGCCTGGCGGTAACATCGCAGCACTGCTACGGGCGAGGTATCAATTTTCAGTTCAAGCTGTATATCTTTCGTTGTATCGTATCAAAGATTTTGAAAAAAATTGGGGCTATTTTCCTCTACGGCGTACGTGTTTGTGAATTTTTTCAGAATTTTTCACCGCAAAATGGAGTTTTAAAAAATTCGAAAAGTATAAAAATATTTTTTTTCAATAGAAATTATTAAATGACCACGTTTATATTTTTACAGTGTTAGTGTCTCGTTATGATTGTTAATCTGTAATTTTTTCAGATTTTTAGAAGTGGGGGAATTATGTCAGAAAAATCAAAAACTGATATTTACTTGTATTTTTACCTGAATTTTTGTTGCGACCATGCTCGTATTGTTACAATTTTAATTGCTTGTTACTGTTATAAATATACAACTTTTTGAGATTTTTTGTGGAGGTGTATCACATACAAAATAATTATAAATCGTTTTATAAATAATATAAAACTTAAAACCTTAGGAATGTCGAAAAAGACATTAATGAATACTTAATCTTTTATGAGTCATATTCTGAGAAATTCTAATAAAACAGTAGCTGCGATTCTCCTAATTCATACATGTAAAACTATTTTGAGCATGTGTATAATGATCATTCGATGAAGTAAAAATATCAATTACCCGAATATATTACTCCTCTGCGAACGAAAACTTAGGGAATATCGATTTATAATTATTGTTCGTCGAAACGTTTCGTCGAATGGAAAAGAAAAGCGGGAAACGAACGAAACCTCACGCGTAACGCGCGAGTCATGGCGTCCCGTAAATCGAATTCACCCAGTTCCGAAGCGTTTCGCAACATTAGCGCCAACGCGGCGCATAACTTTATTCCAATAACCATTCATCATTGGCCTCTGGATAGAAATACGCAGTCGAACGGAATGCGGGAGGAGCGTGAAAATGGAAAAAGGGGGGACCTTTTCCACCCTTCGCCCTTCGAGCTTTTCTTCCGTGAAAAAGTAAATAGCGACGCCGGAAAAACAAATCCGTACTTTGGAATCCAGTCGAGTTGCTTCTGGAGAACTTTTCCACGGGGCTGAGCAGGTGGGTGGGGGGAGGGGGGGGGGTGGGAGAGACTCATACGTGCGAAAGCTCGACGCCAGGGAAGAAAAAATTTTGTACGAAAGCAATTTGTAGGGGTGATCGATGGTTGCAGGGAGCACGAGCGTGTAAAGTCATCTTGTTTTCCAATTTAAAAAAAACGCCCAGTCAGCTTTCGAATAGCTCATATAGGGAGAGGGGGGGATGATCTTTTTCTACGATTCGAGCAAGATTTGTTTCACTTTCTCCTTTCTCTTTTCTCCTTTCTCCGTCAATTTCTGCTAGCTTTTCATAAGAATTTTGTGTTACAAAGAATTTTTCAACGTCTGCAACTGTTTGGAATTACAAATATTGTTATTTTTGAACAGTTTGGGACGTGTTTTTTATTTCTTTTCAAATATTAATAGTATAGAGGGTTTGAGACCCTTCAATTATTTGATAGCAGAGAATTATTTAGTGGACGAATAGTTCACCCCGGGGGGGATGATCTTTTTCTACGATTCGAGCACACAATTTATATTTGTTTCATTTTCTCTTTTCTCCAACAATTTCTGCTAGCTTTTCATAAGAATTGTGTGTTACAAAGAATTTTTCAAGAGTATATAAATATATATTTAAGCAAATGACAAAGAAGAAATTGATTTTTTTCGACTCGAAAGGACCAAATAGCACTTTCACGTTTTTGAGTGTCGATAAATTGGCAATTTTGTTGTAAATACCGAGTTTTTCGTGTAATTTGATAGTACCTCGAGCGTAAAGTTCAGAAGCCCTTCGAATCAACGAGTGTGAAACGTAATTTACAACTCATATAACGCGGGTCGAATACAATCGATTATCCTTCCCTTAATTATGAATAAAATATACCGCGTTTTCAATCATATTCCAGGGATTATCGAATGGGATCTCGGCGTTTATCACGCATGATCGCACTCGAGGCTCGACGGAATCAATTTTCGATAATTAATCCGTTACCGGGCCGAAAGTTTTTCACTCCGCCAGGCAAAAATGATTAACTTTTTTTCCCAACGCTCCAAAATTTCATAACAAAATTTATACGATTTTTATTTAGTTCTCGCGACCGAATCTGTCTGGGGAAATTGCAAATTGCATCCTCGCCGATTTTTATCAAATTGAAACATCGTTTTATAATTTTTCCCTTTTCGGAAACTGGGGTGATCAATTTTAGTTTTCGAATTTATAACAAAAAGTAGGTCTAAAACGTGCTTTGTAGGATGAGATCTAATCCAGACCTAATCCAGACCTAACCCAGATCTAGGGTATGGGTTAGGTCTGGGTTAGGTCTGAATTAGGTCTGGGTTAGGTCTGGGTTAGGTCTGATTTACGTCTAGGTTAGGACTGGGTTAGGTCTGGGTTAGGTCTGGGTTAGGTCTGGATTAGATCTGAGTTAGATCTGAGTTAGGTCTGGGTTAGGTCTGATTTACGTCTGGGTTAGGTCTGGGTTAGGTCTGGATTAGGTCTGGGTTAGGTCTGGATTAGATCTGAGTTAGATCTGAGTTAGGTCTGGGTTAGGTCTGATTTACGTCTGGGTTAGGTCTGGGTTAGGTCTGGATTAACTTTAGATTAGGTCTGGGTTCTAATCCAGATCTAACCCAGACCTAACCCAGACCTAACTCAGATCTAATCCAGACCTAACCCAGACCTAACTCAGATCTAATCCAGACCTAACCCAGACCTAACCCAGATCTAACCCAGACCTAACCCAGACCTAACTCAGATCTAACCCAGACCTAACCCAGACCTAACTCAGATCTAATCCAGACCTAACCCAGACCTAACCCAGACCTAACCCAGACCTAACTCAGATCTAATCCAGACCTAACCCAGACCTAACTCAGATCTAATCCAGACCTAACCCAGACCTAACCCAGACCTAACTCAGATCTAATCCAGACCTAACCCAAACCTAACCCAAATCTAGGGTCTGGGTTAGGTCTGGATTATATCTAGATTAGGTCTGGGTTAGGTTTGGGTTAGGTCTAGATTAGGTATGGGTTAGGTCTGGATTAGCTCTAGATTAGGTATGGGTTAGGTCTGGGTTAGGTCTGGATTAGATCTAGATTAGGTATGGGTTAGGTCTAGCTTAGGCCTAGCTTAGGTCTAGCTTAGGTCTAACTTAGGTCTGGGTTAGAAAAAGAACAAATAGAAAAAAACAAATTTCGAAAGAGAAATATATGATAATATCCCGATGAAACGATTATCATGAGGTTCATTCCAGCATAACAATACGCGCTTATCGATTTCAAACGCCCACGCTGCATTATGCCGTATCAATTGCTAAAACGGTCAACTTTGGCCATGCGTGAAATCTAATCACATCCGGCGGATTCCGATTGATTCGCTAAATGCGTTTACCGTGTTTCCGGGATCGCGCCACACCGCCCCGTTTAATTATGTAAAATATAATGGTGCCTCGCTTATCGTTATATTTCAACAATGTAAATTTTCTACCGCCAATTTGTGAAGTTCAGTCTCTACCCAGTGTACTGCAAAATAATCATTATTTTGCATTCGAAACCACTGCGTTCGGGTCACGAAGTATTTAGAACACCGAATATTGTGGCCACGGTCGCGAGAAGCAAGTAATTTTTCTATTTCTTTTAGAAATTCACAAAAGAAGAAAGTATTCCATTAAAAATACT